TAATTTCTCTTTACTACTTTATTTGTATTAATTAACGTATAATATTGTTAGAAATTTGTTTTAACTTAATTATTAGAAATTTATTTGAATTATATTATAAAATATTTGTACTGAAATATTTTTCAAGATACCTTTTTGGTCATTTTGAATTCTTATAAGCTAGTTTTTGCCAAACATAATTTGTTCATTAACTAGCATATCAGCTAACAACTACCTTGTTAGCTAGTTTCCATTCTCACATGATTCTTTGCACACACACACACACACACACACACACACATATATATATATATATATATATATAAAGAGAGAGAGAGAGAGAGAGAGAGGGGGGGGGGGAGGGGAGATGAAGATACGAGAAGTTTAATATTTTACGATAAGACGAGAAGTCTCACTGACATATATGACTACACTCATTTGAGTGTATTTAATCATATGATTAAACATCTTTGTATTGTGTATCATGTTGTAATAATATATGATATTGAGACTTCTCACAAAAAATTTAACTTCTCGTTTGAATATGCCATGCACACACACACACACACACACACACACACACACACACACATATATATATATATATATGGTTGAAAATTTCACAGCAAAACATTGTGAAAGTAAAAAAATCTAAACCTTCAGAGCAAAAACTATGTGAAGATTACATTCACAGTGTTTTATTGTTAAGTTTCAAGTATAAAGAAGTGGTACCACAGGTTTCACAAAAATAGGCTGGTTTCACATGATCTCAACTCTATAAATATAATATATATATATATATATAGAGAGAGAGAGAGAGAGAGAGAGAGTTTGTTTCAAATACAGCTCATCGCATTTGTACAACCAACGCAACCTAATAAATTGAGATATTTATGAAAATGATGAGAGTTCCTTTATGATTTGAGTATTTATGGAAGATGAATATGGTTTATTAATTATGATCAATACTTTATATTAGAAAACAATCAAAACTTCTATGAAATCACATATTAATCAAATGAAATGGACGATTGAGATTGAGTTGTATTGATTACACAAATGTCAAGGGTTGTATAATAACCAACCCCACTCTCTCTCTCTCTCTCTCTCTCTCTCTCTATATATATATATATATATATATATATATATATATATCGTAGCGTATCTACATAACGCATCATGTGGCCCAACACCGTTGCTACTAGTGTTATTTATCTATTGAAAACCATTCATGTAAAACAAAAGAAGTCAACAAAATGGGAGAAGCAAACTTACCATCACTCTACAATTTATTAATAGTCATGTCATAATTTGGGAAGTCATTAGTAACATATAACCAATCTCACTTGGATCACAAACTCTTTTAAAGGGTTATCTAATTAGTATGAAAAGAGTAACAAGTAAACAAATACACCTCTTTTACATATATTCGTACGTAGTCATTATGATTTCTAAGCAAATTAAAGTAGAGTGAACATATATCAGCATTTTTAAAAGGGTTAACTTGTTCTTTGAAACGGAAAGCAATGAACCTCTGTATACGAAATAACGTTAGAGGATATTGATTATAGTGAAACTATTCTCGTTTCAGGTACATTTTTCCAAATCATGAAAAATACTCAAGTTTAATGTCTCTTTTTTCGTAGTATTATATATCTGACATGTACGTTCAGCAGTATGCGATTGATATAAATTATTAGAGCCTTGGAGCAGAGGGAAGTAGTAGGACCTTTGATATATAATGATGCATCTACCATTCAATCTTGTTTTTCTTTATATCCAAATTGAATGAAATACAATAGTCAAATGACACTTGGTCTTTCCTATTATTAATCGAAGTACAAGATTCATCCATTCTTACGAGTATTTATTGATCATTTCATGTAACAACTCAATTTGTTGTCTATTTTTGAATCACACATAATGTGATTATAAGTCAAAATCGTGATCAAATACATTTTTTTTATAAATTTATAGTTTCAGGAAAAAAAAAAACCAAATCTTAATTCTGTTAAAATTTCAAATTCAACATGAATACTGAAAAAAGCTTACCATTTTTTACAAAAATATTAATATACTTATGAAATTGGCAAGAATTAAATGTTAGTGTACTTGGCTTAAGTTAAGAAAATAATAATTAATTGACTTCATGTTAAAATGGACAAAACATGTGGACCTTCTAATATAATAGTGTTACAAATTTAGTAGAATATATTTTTGCTTAAGAAAAAAGAAAAATATGGTTACCAAGAAATTCAAGTTCAAAAAATTATTGAACACAGAAATTAAATGTATATAGATGGAGGAAAAAAATAAACTTGATAAGAAGCGAGAATCTTACTGGTAATAGTAATGACAATGATTGAGAGTCTTACTCAATAAGTGAGGGTGACGACTTTTACCCGATAACTTACCGGGATTGTTGCATGCGATACAATTTTGATAGACTATAATCTTATCCGGGAAAGTAAGTTAAAATGTTAACTTTTATCGATAAGTTTACCTGATGAGAATTTGGGTAAAGGAATCCTTAATTTACGATACTGATTTTGTTGTTTTTGTCGGCTATAATTTATTTAGTTTTGGAATAAAAGAAACTTTGTTAATTATGATTTCCATTCTTGGTTACCTTTTAGACGAGAAAGAGTTATATTTTTATTTTATTTATTTTTTTCATAAAAAATTGATGGTTAACGACTTTCTATAAAAATAATCATAAAATCGTCCGATTATTAGAACACAAACCCAAGATTAAAAAACCTGAATTAATTTAATTTAGTAAATAGTTGATCATCCTTAATTGTATTTAAATGGAAAAATTAGAGTACAATATAAACCTTAAACCCCTAAATAAACCAAGTGATTTAGTTTGGGCAAGGTTTTAAATGTCATGAAATATGACGTGATGTAATGATGAAGTCAACTCTCAAATCTTATGAGTTACATGCTCACTTACTTTATTAGGTAACATTTTCGGCTACCAAAATGGATTGTTGGTAAGCATCTTAATTAAATCCGGTAAACATTTACTAGTAAGAGTCTTTTTCTTCACTTATGGGGTAGACTCTCGATCTTTGTTATGACTCTTATCCAATAAAGTTCTCGGTCAATGCCATGCTCAATTGGTAAGAGAAGTGACACTTGGGTAAGTGCTTACCCAGTAAGCATTTAGTAAACAACTATAAGAATTTTATCCGGTAAGAAGCATAACATGGAACGAGAGTATTGTTTGATATGTGTTTGGTAAACGACGATAGTTAATGAGGGATTTTTAAACAAATTTAGTCTTAGGGATGAAAGCATCAATAACTTACAAACCATAGGGATGAAAATCACAATTTTAAAACTACGGACACAAGAATCACAATCTTTCACAAATTACAGCTACAAAATCCGTAGCTTACTCCATTGTTAATAATGATAACGACCCTTGGAGCAAGTTAATTCCTCATAATCTTAGAATTTGGTTCGAACTTAATTTCTCCACTTTTCAGGTACGCACAAATGTTTTGACCTTGGATTTAAAATTTCACAGAAGAATGAAGATTTAGGTGGATTTTGGTAGTGTTATTTTGGTGGAGGTTCAAACGAAAACACTTTCATTTTATGAAAATACAAAACACTGTTATCACATTTAATAATACAAATGAGGGACCTTATGATTTAATTTTAATATGTAGATATGACCATTAACAAGTTGTACCAACTGCAGCAGGCAATGGGAGATATTAAAGGGAAATCACATGCACCCATGCAATCTTTAATTAAATAATGATTATTTTGTATGTACCTCACTTGTTCTTCACAATATCAATCAATATATATATACCTCTTTTTGATTATCCACCCACAAACTTCAATATTGTTACACCTGCTAACACATAACACAACATAAAATTAATTACTCATGCTCACTTGGGGAACCTACCTATTGTACACAAGACTAAAATTATAACATAAGACACGAGTTTAAACAAGAACAACGATCATAAAATAACATAAAAACGGTTAAATCACGTTTGATTTTATACTAGAATCGTGTGTGAAAACACACATGATTCACGCGATTTTGCCCGCAACATGAGGTCGCCGGCCAAGTTACCCGCTTACCTCTTGCATTGACGTGTTCTATAATCACATGTGATTTCAGTGTAAAATCACATGTGACTTGGTTGTTTTCGTATTTTCTTATTTTAATTTTGTTCTCGTTTGATCCTCCTTTATATATATATACATATGTATGTGTATGTGTATGTGTATGTATGTATGTATGGGCAGGTTTCGTTAAAAACCTAAAATTGGTTAGGAACTCTGGAACTGCCTAGAGCACGACACATGACATATTCATTAGGAATATGAAAGATTCATAATGAATAACACATCTATATTCATCAACAATTTGTGATTAATGATGAATAGCACTTCCCTAATTATCATGAATGTGCTATTCATAATGAATATTTTGTCCTGAAAAGGGACATGTGATGTCGTGTGGGCAGTTCTCGGGTTTCTAATCAATTTTATAGGTTTTTAATTAACAGAACTTATACACACAGACACACACACGAAGGATCGTATGAGAATAGAAGTTTTAGTGGGAAATGTAAGAAGAGATTAAGACCATTGATCACTTTTAATCCCAAAATAACACATGAATTAGCGTTTAGACGGAAATTGATCTAGTGGTTCTCTTTAATTAGGATTGATCCAAGAGTAGAGATCTCTTCTTACCCATCTCAACATAATTTCCATTCTCACCGGAATTCAACATATATATGGGTATATAGGGGTCGGGTTCCAGTGAAAATGAGAGTTAAGATGAAAAGGGTAAGAAGAGATCTCCACCGTTCGATCAACTAGATCAATTCATTTCTAAAACGTAATTCATAAGTTGTTTTGGGATTAAAAGTAATCAATAATTCAAATCTGTTTTTATACTTCTCCCTTTTAACTCCTGTTCTCGCACCATCATTCGTTTACATATAGAACCTCAACTTTTTGGAACTATTAGGGTACTGACTTCATTGTTTAGGTAGATGAGTGGGAAAAGAAGTTTCCATTGTGAGATTATCTGCAGGTCGAGTACTAGAACTACTTTCTTGATCACAATTGCTTCCAGAATTGATATCTGATGAGTGTAGTTGCTCAATTTCAGCTTCCGATTTAGTTCCCTGGAGGAAGGAGATACCCTGAGGTATGCGATGATTATTAGGATCAATCCCCATATTCTCAAGTTTTTTCTTCAAGTGTGAGTTCCAATAGTTCTTGATTTCATTAGCTGTACGCCCTGGTAGTCTCCCAGCTATCAGTGACCATCTAAAACAATTATAATTCCATTAATTTCACTAAAAATAACCATACATACATACATACATATATATATATATATATATATATAAAATATTATTTGATTAAGGGAGAATTGCAGTAGTACATATATACCTGTTGCCAAGTAGGGCATGGAGCCGGATTATTAGATCTTGTTCATCTTCAGCAAAGTTTCCTCTCTTAAGGTAGTTTAACCATCTTTTCCTACAGCTCTTGCTGCATCGAAGCAGGCCTAATCGATCAAAACTAATATCAGAAACTTAATATATATAGTTATATATAAAAACAAATTGAATTTGTCAAAAAAAAGGTGTAGTATCCAAGATCAAAATCATACAGGCACTAGTATGTATGTATGTATGTATGTATGTATGTATGTATGTATGTATGTATGTATGTATGTATGTATGTATGTATGTATGTATGTATGTATGTATGTNATGTATGTATGTATGTATGTATGTATGTATGTATGTATGTATGTATGTATGTATGTATGTATGTATGTATGTATGTATGTATGTATGTATATTAAACAAGAAGGTATATATGTTATATATAATGAAGATAAAGAACCTGCAGCCTGAGGGATGGTAGCCCAGCAACCTTCACCATGAGAGATAACATAGTTTATAAGCTTTCGATCTTCTTCCTTAGACCAAGCTCCCTTATTCATATCATGCTTATTATGATCACAACAAGGTTTCCTCATTTTAGTTTATATAGTATTAGTTAAATCGATATATATATATATATATATATATATATATATATATAGTTTACTTGTGTTTATCAGAAAATAAAGCTAGCAATTCCCTTATAAAATAATGATACATATATATATATGAAATTATGAATGGTGGTGGAATTGAAGATGGAGGTGGTGGTGTGTGGAGGATGGATGGTAGATATGAATTAAGAAATGGAGGTATTTATCATGTTGTTCGTGGCTTAATTATAGGGGAAACGAATGAAAAAAGTTGACTTGGACTGGTGGTTTGCTCGTGCATCGAGTACTTTATTTCATTTACATGTGTCTGCCAAACGTACGTTGTTTGGTTTACTACTTACTTTACCTGCCCTCTCCATCTCTTTGAGTAATTCTAGATACCATCATTATTAACACTTATTTGAAGAGTAATCTTCCGTATATTTTTATATGGTATTAAAATCAATGTCTACCATTTAAACCATAAGATTTGACATTCTGGGGGAAAATTGTGCTCGTCTCCTCTCCTCTCCTCTCCTCTCCTCTGGGATAATTTATGTCTATCTAGCCTATATTAGAAATGGCTTGTTAGAGTCCAAAATCGATTAGACTTGGACTTTTTTGTCCTCAATATTGTAGGAACATTCTTTCTTTAATTAAAGACTCTTTTGAACAGTAAATCTAAAGGTTGTAAATATTCACACGATTTGTTTCATTGTTCCTTTAATTTCATTTCATTAAAGATAAATGGGATATATATGATTTCAACTTTTAGAGGTATGATATTACATGCAATCTTTCACACCCTTAATTTGAAAACAATATTAATCTACTTTCCATTTTCTTATATGCACCATGATATTTGATCGGTCACCACTTATTTACAACTAAATTAACAGCAAAATTAAACCGTGCTGTATATTCATACTAATGAAGGTAATTAGCATATGTATATATATATATATATATATATATAGAGAGAGGTTGATTATTATACAAACCATGACATTTGTGCAACCAATACAACTTAATCTCAACCGTCCATTTCATTTGATTAATATGTGATTTCATAGAAGTTTTGATTGTTTTCTAATATAAAGTATTAATCATAATTAATGAACCATATTCATTTTTCATAAATATTCAAATTATAATAAATGAACTCTTATCATTTTCATAAATATCTTAATTTATTGGGTTGTATAAATGCAATAGTTATATTTGACTGAATATAATATGTAAGGGTAAAAATGGGTTAATTGTAATGGGAAGGAATGATACTAATAAAGGAAACTGAGGAGGGTATCACGTGCATGTTGACTGATAGTTCTTCAAGACTTTTGCCACCTTTTATATACGACAACCCTCTTGGCAGCTCCATCACATATATCAACTCTTGCTGCCTTTTTCTTTAACCTACTCTTGGTCTCTACTTTATTTTATATATTTATAAACTAATAATTGTATGAGAAAAAGAGTTAAAAGATAAAACAAACGTAAGAAGCAATCTGTATATTTGAATAGGATTGATCTCATACTTATCCATGAATTATGTTCCTCATCAGAATTCATCATGTGTATCTCGGTGCATATCATTAGTCTCGATCTTCAATTAGGATGCAAAGGTCCAGATCATTTCTTATGTTTCTTACCATAACTTTTTTTTTACTGAAACCCAACCCTATATGTATATGTATGAAGAATCTAATAAAAACATAATCAAAATAAGAAATCACGAAAACTGTTAAATCATATGCTGATGCGTGTCTTGGCGTGGATGACCAGGCTATGCCTGTAGTCCATGATCAGACTAACAATAGTTCCCTACTTAAATGAACATAACTTTTGCTACATAATTATGTTTCAGACCCATAATATGTCGATTCGAAGCTTGGAAAAGGAGCAAGGTCTTGCTAAGACCCAGAGGGGCCTATGGGATTTTCGAGGCCTAAAAAGGTCGTTTGATCATGTTTCTGAACACTTTTGTGTTTTTTCTTTGTTTGGGCTTTTACAATAGGCCCAAATAATCTTTTTCAGGCCCTTCCGTTTTGGTCCTCTTTATATGTTTCTGATGTAATTTTGATGGTCACACATTAAATTGGAATTTGAAGCCTAAGGTTCGGTATTAGTTGAATCAACAAACTTTAGAAGAGGTCATCTCCGAATATTTGTAGAACCAATGGGTTTAATCTTCATTTTCATCCTTATACGCTACATATTTATTGAAATCACATGTGATCACGAAAACATGGTCAACGCAAGGGTGAGCAGGCGACTTGGCCCACAACCTTCGGTAACAGCCAGAACCGCATGAATCACATGTTATTATACACATGGTTTTCATATGATTCGACCTTTTTGATGTTCTCTTATTATTGTGTTATTTGATTATGTCACCTCTAGATCTCATAACTTCAGGGTTTAAAGAAAAATTAAGATATGTACGTCTTCATCATCTTAATTCTGATCTCCGATGCTTTACCAAAATTCCAATTTCTAATTAATTTATCTTGCAATTTGTCCCTTCATGAGGTTCAATTAATCAAAGATACAATGACTATTGATTTTAAAAATGTAAGAGTGATTTTTCTCTTCTAATCGATATAAAATAATTTATCTTATAAAAACAAATGTTTTTTTCGTCATTACATATCTTATAACAGCATATGCATATCATATCTCTTGATAGTGTGTATCAAGTCCTACCCACCAATTTTACCTACCCTGTCTCCAAAGGTAATTTTAGTAAACAACCAAATACGGTCCAATTAACCTATCAAAAATATCACAAAACTTCTACCGAAACGATAGAATATACGATGTAATAAATAACAAGTGTAATATGTTATTATAATTAGAAGTTAATTATGCATAATTATACCCAATTTCAGCGGATTAAAAAAACTAACAATAAAAAACACATTGCTAAAATCGTCATGATATACCTCTTAATTTTCACTTCAAGCTACCATCATGCATTTCGATTATACATCAAAGATCGCTTATTTCACCCACTTAATGTAAATAAGTATAGATTCAAATAGCAATACTACAATTTTCAAATCTTAAAACAGTACTAGTTAATACTCAATATACATAAATAACGGTCCCACTGAAATCACTAATTAATATAGAGGGGCCAATGTCGAATATGTGATCGTAATCTTGACTTTTTTACCCCTACCTATTCACATCGCGTCAAGTATTCCTCTATTTACACTATTAAAATAAAATGATTTTTACATCGACCTACACTTACAATAATTTTAGTACTTGAAAATAGTCAACGATGCAAATGAATCATATTATATGAACTTAAAACACAAAACACACATCACAATTTTAACAGTAATATGTACTTACTTGATATAAACGTGTTCTTAACTTGTTGAATTTTTTTTCTAAGATCAACTCTCGATGAATCCAATAAAATCATCTTATAAAGTAAATTATAACGATCCAATAAGTATTATACTTTTATTATGACATGCCTTATGTCTACCCTTAATTATAATTCCCTAACGTTTCTTGAATTTAACAATCTGTTACAAGGATCACATCCACTAACTATTCAAGAAACTTATACCTTCATTATTTAAATCAATATATAAATAGAGAAAGAATCATGTGAGAAGTTAAACATTTTACGAGAAGACAAGAAGTGTGATATCATATATGATTACACGCCATTTGGGTGTGTTTAATCATATATAATTAAACATCTATGCATTGTCAATGTAACGTGATTTAGTTATATTTGATTAAGCTTGTGTATCATATATGATATCACACTTCTCGCTTTCTTATAAAATGTGTATCTTTCTCGTATGAACTTGTCTTTATATAATTAATATGTCTATATTAATGCACAAAATAGTAAAAAACACCAAATTATACCCATAGCATATATTTTAGTAAAACTAATGTTGCTGAAATATATTACACGTGGCAAAAAAAATACATTTTTATGATCAATATGATTTTATAAAACTTTAAGATATTTTCTAAAATTCCAGAAAATTGAATACTTGAAATTGAGATAAATTTACATATTAAAAGTCCAATTGCCTTTTTATGATTACCAGATAGCTTACAAAGATTAAGTTGAGGTAGAAATCTATATTTTCAAAATATAGGGACCCAAAATGTAAATATCTGAAACTTTATGTAAAGTATGTGGGCCATATCGGTTGAAACCCGGTTAGCTCTACTGCCCGGTACATGGCCCATCGAATAGCCACAAGCTCAACATCGTCAAGCCATTGAAATTAAGAATCGCTCAATCGTGCTTCTTTGCCCATGATCCGAATAGGTGGTATCCTACCCGAACAATGATCCATGCCCACCCTCAAAACCCAGATTCTTTATCCATGACCCGAATCCATGAATCGTTGCAACCAACACCATTGAGATCCATTTCATGCTGAAATCCAAATTTTGCTTTTCTTTTAGTTGACAGAATTGACATGCACTAAGTTTATCTACGGTTTGATATGTAAAAATCACGTTGAACTTTAACTTAATTTTCAAAATTTTCCAAATAAAAAAACCTTCATATGATAAATTTGGTCGGATAAGTGACCGTTAAACTACATTTGATTCAAGAAAGTAAATCCAACAACCATCATTACACCCTCTCTTTATTTCTTTCTTTAGATACACTATTCTTTGAAATTTTTTTATTGAAGATCGATGATTGAAATACAAGAGCATTTCCAATGAAGACGCAAACTTTATGTTGAATGTTTTTTCATGTATGCAATTAACACATTACAAATTAGATTTATATTCGTTTTTATTTTTAATAAGTTTAATTTTTAGAAATTCGTGATTACTTTTTAATAACTTAAAACCTAATAATATATTTAATTGGAACTCACAATCATGTATATTTTAACATGAAAAAGTAACTAATAAAAAAGGTTAAAAATATATAATATCCAACAAAATATAACCTGTAAAAATGTATGATTTAAATTGCAAGACAAAAGATTGTGTAAAAAGAAAAGTTAAGCGGAAAAGTGTAATAAGTGATTTGTACTATAGATCGCATTTAATCTTAAATTTATCCATAAATCGCACTTTATACGAGGATTGATTGAGTGCATATTAGTGCATCTCATCCTAAACAATTTAGTTTATTTAAAGTAGTATGTGAACGAAGAGTTACAGTAAAATAAAAAATATGAAGATGTATATAAATATAAAAATATTATAATTTTTAATATATTATATTAAATAATAATATAAAATATCATATTTTCTTTTAATTAATGATGTAATTGATTGTAAAAAATTATTGTTTATATTGTTTTTATATTAAAAATAATATGAAAATTTGTTGTTTTTAGGAATCAAATTCATCTTTCATTCATTTCTCATATTATGAATTTTACTTGAGAGCTATTAAAGAATAGTCATTTTTAGGAATCAAATTTATCTTTCAGTCATTTCTCATTAGAGATCTTTAAAATATCACTACCTGCGCAAGTGGCGTGACTTACAGAGAAGCTAAAAGACAAAAAAAACACCTTTCTCCTATAAAAACGATTCAAATCAAGCCACGTCATCTACTATCGACTTTTTTGTAAAAGTTTGGCATAACAACTAACAAGTACCTTATGTTGGAGGGTTTATCACTCGATCCCTCATACTTTGAAAAGAATTACAATGTGTCCATTGTGTTTGTATAACCATCAAAATTATCTGACTTCTACCCTTATCTTTTAACTATATATTTCAATTTGGTTCCAATACATATTTTTAGGGCATACAAAATAAAGTAATTTAAAATTGTTTATATCAGGATTATAAACTAAAACCATATATTAAAATGTAATGCATTCATTTCATCAAGAAGTACATCATACTTAACCCGTTAATTATCATAACCAGTAGAATAATAATAGAAAATTCAAAAATATTGAAATAATTTATAACGAAAATCTAATATTCTTAAATTGATATTAGAAACAAAGTGTTAGATCTATCTAACATCAATACTTCAACTAACAACACAATGAAACAAAAGGGTTTTTTTTCTTATTAATCTGGATATCCAACCCGTTATGTAAGCCGACTAATCTCAGTACGACCACATGCTTTGCAGATAACCCAGAGTCACCGCATTTAAACCTCTGTGGCCACAAAGAGATTTTTATTTTTATTTGGATTTGAACCTGAAATCTCCTCATATTTTTTTTATCTTTGGAGTAAAGCTCAAACCAAAAGTTAAAAACTAAGGGCTGTTTGGTAGTTGCTGAATGGTTTGGTGCAGAATGGCTAAGTGGTCAGAATGGTTAAGTGCTGAATGAAATAATGTTGTTTGGTAACTGTTTTCTGAATAAAAGCAAATTACCATTTTAACCCTCTTTGTTTTTTAGTGATCATCCAGTTCAAACTTATGGTTTACCTAACGAAATCGAAAATCATGCAAATATATTTGAAATCAAAAATCATGCAAATATACTTGAAATCGAAGTTGTGCTACTGTTAAGAGATTGCCGACCAAAATCGAGGCGACAATTGAAGATACCTGATGGAGGCGACAATCGAAGCTGTGGAAGGTCGCCGGCGATGGAAGCTGTGTAGGTCTCCGGCGATGGAGACTGTGGAGGTCGCCGGCGATGGAGACGGTCGAGCGACAACAGGCGAGAGTCTCAACAGGCGATGGAGACGGTCGAGCGACAACAGGCGACAATCGAAGTTGTGGGAGGTCGCTGGCGATGGAGACGGGGACGGAGATGGTGGAGGCTACCGGAGACGGGGACGGAGATGGTGGAGGCTATCGGCTACCGGAGCCGGAGCGACGTGCGTGAAGAGAGGGTTGGGAAGAAGGGGTGGGAAGGGTAATCTTGGAAAAAATAGAAGTCTGAATGGTTGAGTGAACCATTGGATGCAAAATGGTTAAGAGCCATATGTAACCATTAAGAGGTTTTTTTTTTTTTTTTTGCCAAACGGTCCTAACCTCTGACCGATTAAGAGGCTCCCTCTTAATGTCATCATTAAGAGGGAAACAAACAGCCCCTAAGTGAAAACTAAAACTCGGCCTAATTCTCGAGTTTGACCAAAATTATATTAAATCCATATATATCTTTCACATAATGACACATAGGTCCTTGCACTTGATTCTTTTCTTACTTGACATCTTTAGTCCTTCACGTGAAACATCTCTTATAAATGGGGCTAACATTGAGGTATTGAATCAGAATATCAGATAACAAATTAAAACAAGAATAAGTTAACTTTTTTAAAAGTTGAAATTGTGTGAAATGATGATTTATGTAAATAAAATTAAATTATGATCCAATTTTGTTTTGTTTTGTCTTTTTATAATAATTCATTAAATTCTGAAGTAAAAATATAAGAAAATTATTGTGTTACTTATTACTTTTATGATATTTAGAGATGGTAAAACATCATATTCTAAACTCACCATCTATAAAAGTTTACCCAAAATATAGAATGAACCGATACATCAAAATTCTCATTATATACCGATTCACGGTTACATGACATCGACTAGTTGTTATCATGTAAAGTTTCATGAACTTCAAATTCAAGCTTTTTAGTTAAAAAGAAAGTTTTCATAGCAAAATAATATACTTTTTATTAATATTTATTGTATTTTTTATGTTCATTTTGTAGGATATTCAATATGTGTATATACATTTATACATATATGTAGGGGTGCTCATTGGTTGGGTTGAAGACATTTGAACAACTCAACACTATGCTTGCGGTTTGAAAAAATCTTAACTCAACCCAACTCAAACCAAAGTGCAACCCAACCCAACCCGTACGGGTTGGTCGGGTTGATACTTTGGTACATTAAAATATTTTTCTAACCTTGAATAAGTTATTTCTCTGCTCATAATTTTTTTTTTGATCATCAACCATTTGATACAACTTATCTATATTTCTTACGTATATCACATTCAATTAATTTTCTCAATTTACATATATATGTTCACAGTTACTGAACATATATACGAATGAGTTATATAGAGATGTGAATAAATTGAAAATATGTGTATATGAAAAACATACATGATAGTATAATTGTCTAATGTATATATTAATAGAAATTCAACAATCATATTAAATCCAAGAAATAAAAGGATATCAGGTTCATCAGGTTGGGTTGGGTTCAAATAATAGTAACCCAATATCAACACAATACCTACGGTTTGACAATTTTACAACTCGATTAAACATCGGGTTGCTTCAGGTTGAGTTATTTCACATTGAGTTAGATCGGGTTGATCGGGTTTTTGAACAGCCCTTCACAAAAACCCCTTCATATATGGATGCACCAAAATTAAACAAGCCCAGAATATTTATCTTTAAATAATCAGACATCATATAAGCTTTAAATCCATTAAGAAGCTTCAAAAGATAGAAAAAGGTAGCTTTTTTATTACATATGAAATTGCACCTACAAGGGTGCTTATTCAATACTACTCCAGCCCATGCATCGACGACAATAATTGTTTTGAAGCTTCTTGATTACAAATTTGGATGTTTATGCAGGCTTGATGTAAACACCGATGGCATGGAGGTAGTCACCGGAACGACCATAGAATCCGGCGAAGCTACCTTTGGAGATGGGTAGCGAAAAATGAGTCCCGTTTTCCCTACCAAATGGTCCAAACTTGTTTACGTCGGTTGAAAAAGATAGCGACGTCACGACCATCTGGGAATCGAAGTATCCAATCGTCCCACTAATCGCATTCAGCTCTTCCACCTCAAGATCAATGTTAACCTGCATTCAGAAGCAAATTTTAACCAAGAAATTGTTAAAAGATTGAAGTGAGTTATTTGAAAGAGTACCTCAGAAGGATCGCCACCAAAACCACCAAATCTGTTGGAATGGAGGAGATTACCATCGTCATCTTGGCTAGCAAAGGCGATGGAGTCGATAATGTCTCCATGAGAGATGAAAATCTTTGTGATCTTTCCTTCTGCTTTGAAGGACCAATTATCTCCATCGGAGCTGCTTCCCCATGGTCCAACTACTGCTAATTTCTTCCCCATTTGAACTTAAGTTCAGACGATGGATCGATGATATCTATGGCGATGGGCGATGAGATATATATAGACATTCTAAAGGAATATAATATTACCTGCTGCAAGTTTTTGATGATTACTACTGTTGAGAAAACAGAGTCGATTTCATGTGTAGCAAAATATAATTAATTAAGTGGCGTATCGAGATTCGTGAGACTTAACGGGGATGATGGCGTGATGCTCCATGCAACCACTCACATTTTTCGCCAATCTCCATTTCACCACTTTTCTTATATTTAAATAAGAAAAATCATCTAAAGATTTTTATCTTTTTCCTCAAAATAGCTATGGAAAAAATTAAAAAAATTTAATTGACTTTAATGTTTGAAATGATTAAGTTTTTTAAATAATTTTTTAAAATAAATAAGTCTTTCGATATTCTAAATATGTTAAATAACTCTTTGAACTTTCTAAAACTTGTTACATACATCTTTATGACTTATACAACTGGTTAATTTGATAAAATAATAACAAAAAAATCCGAAAAAACCCTAATGAACATTCATATTTTGAACGATTAAGTCATTAAATACCTTTTGAATTAAAAAATATAGATCTATAAAATTAAACAAAAAATATTTTTTAATTAAAATTAAAATATATTTTGTCAATGATTTTTCAAACTAAAAAAAATAAAAAAAAATACTGATGAAATTTATTTTTATTAAAAATAAAATATATCACACATGTGATTTTTCAAATTAAAAAAAGATTAAAAAGATTACTGGTAAAATTTATTTTATTTTTTATTAAAAATAAAATATATCACACATGTGATTTTTCAAATTAAAAAAAGATTTAAAAAAGATTACTGGTAAAATTTATTTTAATTAAAAATAAAATATATTTTTATTTTTAATTAAAATAAATTTCATCAGTAATCATTTTTAAACTTTTTTTAATTTTTTTAATTTAAAAAATCATTGACATAATATCTTTTATTTTTAATTAAAATAAATTTCATCAATAAATTTTTTAAAATGTAAGTACTTTTTTTAGTATATTTGTTTTATTTTATATAATTTAAGTATTTTTTTGTTTAAAAAATGTTTAAGGACTTTATCGTTCAAAATATGAATGTTCATTGGTTTTTTTCATGTTTTTTTCCTTTATTTTACTACGTTAATTTATTTTATAGGTCATAAGAATGTATATAAGAGGTTTTAGAAAGTCCAATGAGTTGTTTAACGGGTTTTGGAATGTTTAAGGATTTATTTGTTTCAAAAAATTGTTCAAAAACTTAATCATTCCAAACACTAAAGTCTATTGGTTTTTTTAGACTTTTCCCGATAGTTATTTATTTATAAAATATAAAAATTAAAAACTAATGATTTATATTTTATCATCTACTAATAATGTACCTGTATGATACAACATAATTTAAAGTTAACTATAAATCAAAAATTGATTCGTTTTAAATTTATTTTCAATGATTTTCTTTTTGTTTTTTTTGAAAGCGGAAAAATTATTAGATCAGGTTTTCAAAAATCTAAATTATTTTGTTGTTTATTTAATTGATTAACTTTATATTTGGAAAAAAAATGGTTGTCATATTTAAAAGGAATAAAATTAGTTTATAAATTGTAATATTTTATAATGCTTGTCATATTTAATATTTTACCAATTGTGTTATTGAAAAGTTAAAAGTTTAAAAAATATAAATGTTTTTATAATATAACTATATGTTATTTCAAAAGAAAACTTTAAAATATATTTTATCAACTATTGGATATCCATATTGGGAGAAAATTTGGCTAACTAATTAAAAATGTATCTAAATGTTATATAATATATAATTATATATGGTTCAGGTTTTGGAAGGAAATATTAAATAAATAAAAAATTGGAAAACAACGAAAAAATGAATGAAAAGTATGTATCTATATAGATGTCATATTAACGAGAAAAATATGATCGTTTATTTGAAACAATTATTTCGTTTGAATTTTGTTTATTTTTCGTCTTTTAATTTTTAATAAAGTTGTTGTAATTGCACATTTAATCACGTCCAACAAATCATCTAATAAAACAAACTGATGATATGTTTTTTAGTTTTTCATTTAATTAAAAAAAATTCTTAAATTTTTTTTTAAAAAAAATAACGTTTTAAAAAAATGTTATATAAAATAGAAATAAAATAAATACTATTTTATAAGATATTTATATAAAAGTTTTAAAAGTTCAACAACACAATATCTATTAGATATTAAGTAAAAATTACAATAAAATTTATGCTGAAAGCATTTTTAGTTCTCACATAGCGAGAATAAGAGAATGTGTATTGCCCTGCATTCCTGTAAAAAGTAGGTATAGGGATGGGGCGGTGACGTAAATCCCGATCATCGATTCCGATTACTTATCTCTATCTTTATCCTCGTCTTCATTCCCGTCGGGGAATATAATCACATCCACATCCCCATTTTCAATGGGGAACGGAATTTTTTTTTCCGTTTATGTAAGTTATTTTAAATTAAATATGTGAGAGACGAAATCTCATACATTTTCAATAAACCTAAAATCAAAATGAATTTAATTTAATACAAAACAACCACAACATCATATAAGAATTAATAACTTAAAACCAAAAAAATCAATTTAATCCAAAAAAACTTAAAATCATGTGTACCAAAAGATATTAAGTGATATAAAACCATATCGAGTAATATATAAAATTTATCGAGAAATTGTATTTTGACTTGACCTCCAAAATATTACATATTAACATCTAAAAAATAACAATTTAGAAAATTATGAATTATCGTTTTAATTGAAACAAATAACACACACACACACACACACACACACATATATATATATATAATTTATTAATTAATATGTAACGGGTACGGGGCAGGGGGGAGTATGATACTCATTCCCGTCCCCATCCATGGTTTTAGACAAATGGGGATTTCATTCCCCGTCCCCATCCCCGATTTAGAGGGAAATCTCCGTTCCCGACCGGGGCGGGTAAACCGGGTTCCCCGACGGGTCGGGGGCCATTCCCATGCCTAATAAAAAAATCCAATGTTCGTGTTAAAGCACCGCATTAAAATATACATGAGTATTTGAGTTTTCATTTTTCTTTCTCTTTTTATATTGTGTATAAAAATAATTTAAATTTTTGTATGATGTAAGTGTAATTAAATGTGTTTGGCATTAAAAATGACATAACATGATAAGAAATTCATATTCTATGTTTTGACAAAAAATTTATGTAGAACAAACAGTAATATAATGGAATAAACATGTTTCATCTCTACCCGTTAAAACATGGTAGAACAAGATAGAAGAGACTTGTATTTTACCAATATACACTCAAAATAAAACTTAATTCACTTCTAAATCTCAAATACTCATTTTTACATTTTATTCATTCTTTAAATTTTAATTATCATATTTTAAACTTTTTAGACTTTCATTTTATTGTTCTCAAATATTATTTTTATTCGGTTTCTATATTTTTATTTATGTAGTTTATTATATATTAATAATATAAAAATTAAAAATTACATTAACTTTATATTTTGATGTCATTTTAATTGTTTTAATAAAAACTTTATAATGATATATTTTATTATAAAAAATAATTATTTTATTGTAATTTTATATAACTAGAAGGGTACTCGCACAATGCAGCGAAATAAATCTCGATTTTAATGTTTAGTTTTTATTTTTATTGCCTTTATCGATATAATACGATTTTATGTGGTTTTGAAAAAAAGATAATGTTTTTATTTTTGAATGAAATATAAATATGAAAAATAATCAATATTAGTATCAAATTAACTATTAAATAGTTCTCCTTTTTTTGTACAACTTCTTTAATTCAATTTTTTATTATAATTTAATTTAAATCTAATAACAAAATAATTTATTTTTGGTTTAAGAGTATCATTTTTTATAAAGATAATAATTAAACATTCTGTTAAAACTCAATGATTATCTTAATTATATTTTAAATTGATGTTTAACCTGTATTTGATTATGTTTATCTGTAGTTAGTTAAATGAATTAAAAAATTAAGCTTTAATAAGTTGTACTTGCAAATTTACTTGTAATCTTGAAATTTAAGTAATATGCATCAACAAACAAAATTTCATATATAAAAATAATTTTAAAAGTTTTTATCAAATATTTTATAATATAATATAGATAAATAAATTACTCATACTCCAACGTATTTATACTCAAATTTTCCAAGCAAAACAATCAATATGGATAGCCAAAAGTCCATCCATTATATACTTCCGAATTGAATGACACTAAAAGCTCTATTTTAATTACTAGAAATTTAAAGGTTCGTCAAATTGGCAAAACAGGCCCCTCTACCTTTGGCTACTTTCATTGCGGCCCATGACCTCTCACTTGCAGTATCTGTCAACTATTCCCCTTACACTTTATCTTATTCCATTTTTAGTCAATCATTTTTCATGTATTATCCTTTTCCTTTTATCTCTCATAAACATTTATTTACCCTGTTTTTGGGGTGTCATCATAAGGGACTGCCGGAGAAGGAACCGTGGGGGAAGGGACGTCGGAGAACGATCATTGTGGAAGGAATCGTCGGCCTTGGAGGAGAAAGCTTGGGAGGAGAGATCATACAAGAAGGAGATCGAAAGTGGAAAGAGAAAGTGAGTACGGGCAAATGTGGAAGAATGAGACTCTGATGGTTCGCTCTAAATACAAAATGGTTAAGAGGATTTTGGGACCATTAAGAGGCTTTAATTTTTTTGCCCAAAGATTCATCTTGCACAATTCAGATGTTACTTATTAATGGCACCATTAAGATGCAAACAAACATCTCAAGTTATAATTAGAGGTGTAAACGATACGAGACAATTTGCGAGCTACTCGAGATCGAGTCGGTCAAAACTCGACTTGAATAGGCTCGGCTCAAACTTGAACTTGACTCGATATATTAACGAGTCGAGTCGAGCTACTCAATGCTCGACCCAAAAATCTCGTGAGATACTCGATTTTTTA